CGGGGTGGACTTTCACTACACCATAACAAAACCCCAGGTCAAACATAGACAGAGGCAGGTCAGTAGGATTTTATGGCAGGACAGGTGGAGCAGCTCTGCAAACGGGAGACACACACACTATTTGATACCTACAGTTAACGAATGTTTTTTATCCAGCGATTTTTACTTTAATCAGTTCTTAACTTCCCATGGTGTATTTGGCGATCACCAAGCTAGGATGTTTCAAAAATCCTCCGCGTGCAAATATTGCGGTCACTATCAGACTATTAAACATCTGATGCTTGACTGTCAAAAATTTGCAACCATTAGGGGAAATAGTTTTGACAGAAGAGGCGACATAAGATCTTGGTGAAGGACTAATAAACAGAGGCAAATTATTAAAGACATCATTAAACGCACCCTGGAGGACGCACTCGCCCCTGATGACATTTTGGATCCGCTCTACACGAACTAAACTCAATCCCGGTTGATGGGCTGCCCGCCTGTTCGCTTCCCGTTATTTTGACAACGTTTTGTTTTATCTATCTCATTCGCTTTTTAATTCTGTTTTAATCTATTTATTCACTACATTGTGCTTTTAATTGGCTTATTTACATTGCCTTTCCTTGCTTTGCAAATTTTAGCGTCGCCTTTTAATTGTATTTGATAATTGTTTGTTTTTCCACTTTACATCTTCACCTCCTTTTGTTTTACATTTGAGATTTTCTTATCTCCTTACGCCTTGTTCTTCTGTCTTACCTGTTGTCAATTTGTCATCGACTGTATTGGTTCTTTGACCTATATTAACTTGGGACCTCCGTTTACCTGTGACCTTTTAATGTCTTCTTATGTTCACTTCAGGAACACGTTTTTTTAATGGTTCACTTTATGTTTTACTGTTCTTGAATACATCAACAGTTTATACTTTGCGTCCTTTATATCCTGTCACAATGTTAATGATCGTTTTGGTTTAGCGACCCAACTTACTCCGTAATATTACTCGTTTTAATCCTATGTACTGTCTGCACATGATGCATTATATGTCATACTGTACTTTCCTGTGATGTGTTGTAAAATTTTCATTTGTGTCTTTGGCTCACTATAAGGGAAGTCCCGTCGGCTTCGGCACTATAAGGCGGGACTCTCGGAGCATTTTAATTATTTTACTGCTGTTGCCATCAGACTCTGTAATGTTTACATAATGTTACTCTGTAATGTTACTTTTTGTATTTTATGTACTTTTCTGTTTTTCTTGATTTTAATAGACATTTACCCGTATGCCCTAAATTGGGGCAGGTCGGGGTAAATAATACATTTTAAGATACGATAAATATTTTACAGTGCATCATCGAAAACATTACATTAGCAAACAGATCACGAGTTGGTGTATCTTTACAACTTTTAATAAAATCTACAACTTTCATGTTATGAAAGTTTTCTGGTAAGTTATTCTTTCAGTGGCAATAGTTTCCTTTTAGATACAATTTAAATAAAGAAATAATTTAAAATGGAAAAATAAAATACAAAAACCATGTTTTTAAGAGCTGAAAAAATATATATTTAGCACTTGCGGGACATGCAAGACTAGTAATAAGTTATTTTTGTAGAAAAATTCTTTTCTTATATTGGGCGGGTTCAGGACTAACTTGATGTCTGTTTTCAAGTAACCTAAACGGTAAAAATTTAAGTATTATAGCAATTTTCTCCAACTTTCTCAGCATAAGCAACACTACGAAGAAAAAATAGTTTGCAAAGAGAAAAAGTATAATCATTAGGTTTATATGAAGAAGAAATAAGTCTTTTAAAAATTGTAAAACCACTAACTAAGCTAAGGAAACATTTTGAGGGTAGTACTTTTTCATTGATTGTTCGAAAAATATTGCCTAAAAATTATGAAAAAGTAATTTTAATTAGCATTTTACACAAAAGGAAAATGAAAGCATACAGCACAAAGGAAAACACAAACATGTCTTAAAAAAGCATTGAAATATTGCAGATGATTAAGAAAAACGTTAATAATCAGAAAAACGTGAAATTCATAATATTTGGTATTCGGTAATTGCACAATATTTGTGTTTCTATTGAAATAGTGTTTACCGAATTAGTGCTTTAGGAAAATATTAAATTTTTATATACTGAATATAGCCGAGTTATTTTGCACAATATTTGCAGTTAAAGGGCTATCCCACATCAATATCTGCATTAAATAAGGCGGGCAAACACAGGAAAATTAAAAATTAAATAATTGCTGCATTAAATAACACACGGAAATTGAAAAACATACATAATAAAATCTACCGAACAGCC